ATGTGGTGCTGGGGGATCGAACCGCAGTCCCTGTGCTTTGCCAAGCTTGTTCCAAGTAGGTGCTTTAGACCACTGAGCCATCTCTCCAGCCCTTGCTGCTAAATGTTGAGCACTAGTAATTTTATTGAGCTTTTGAAGTGTCATATTAAAGATATTGGTAAATTCACATTTATGAAGTTTTACTATATATTTAATGTAAGGTACCCACATATACCCACACAAAGTGCATATTTCACTTATGTTTTCTTCCACTGAAAATGTTTTAATCTTTCAGAGTCAGAATCACTTTTGTTGTAAGAGTTGGCCTCAGAAAATTTTTTTTATTTCAGAAGAGGCTGAAGTCTGCTTTTAAAGGTTTTGTTCTTGTTGTGGAGAGCTAGACCACTTCAGTATCACGTTTTCTGATGTTGTCCATCATACTTCTAAGAGGGTTAGGTTCACTTTTCAAGTCTTTCACAGTTTTGTTTTTTGCACAGCAGCAGCAGTCGAGCACTTCATACAGAAAAGCTAGTACCACCAATGATACCACTGTAAATATAAATAGAAGTAGGATGACAAAGCAGGCAGTGTTCCAGTTATCATGGAAAGGGTAAATTTTTTGTACTTGAAAACCAAGGTACTGATAAACAGAGGTAGTGGTTTCATTCCAGTGGCTGGAAGCCATTCTGAGAGATGCCACTTCTTGTGTTGCTCTCTTGAATCTGTAAAAAGATAAAAAGTGAATGCATGTAATCAAACTACACGTTTGTCTATCCCAGACTCAGTCCTAAGTGTTCTTGATAATTTATATAGGCCATGTGAGTTTTCCTTATTGTCTAGCAGAATTAGTGATAGAATTTGTGATTTTTGTACATCCCAAGTATTAAATCATTTTTATGTATATCATTTATTAAAGGAATATTTGTGTTTAAGATCTGTGTACAAAAGTTAACTGCTAATGTAAGGGAAAATGGGAGTCTGAATTTAAAACGACTGAAGCAGTGGATGATGAACTATTTTTTCTAAGAAGTCTTAGCGTTTGAAAGTTGTGGTTTTTTTTTTTTTTT